AATAAAACAAAGATTAAATATAACTCGAAGATACGCTTTATGATTTTCTTAACGATTTCTTTGAAAATAAAAGATGTTTACTTTAGACGTGATGCGCTCATATAATAACAGACAAATAGACAGACAGACAATTCTAAAAATTATAAAATGTTCTTATTTAATTATTTTCAGTTCCCTATAATGATTTTAGCCACCAAAATATATATACAATGTACAGAAAGAGACACAACATGTTATCATCATTTTTATTATATGTATAATATTTAAAGAGAGATGGCGCTGCTAACATCAATTCTAAAAATAAAAGAGATTAATTGACGCGATTGATACATTATATAAAACGCAAGATAACTTATAAATCAGTGCCTGCACAGTAAGCAAAAAATAAAGTTTGACTCTCGCCAAAACCAACGCAATTGTTAATAGCTCTTTTAAAATTTGATTTACCACATAGAGTACTCGGCGGTAAAGAATAAATTGAGTTTGTCAACACGCAGTAGGGCAGCGAGTAATATAATAAAGATTAGCAGTAAATATGAAAACTCATCTACAGGAAAAAACCACATTGCAATTGCATTACATTTACACAACACCACCATCTATCGAAGAAATGGGTTAACTATTGTGCTTCAGATTTAGTTAATAAGTTTAATATATTTTTGTATAATATATTTAATACGTTCTTTAATACTTTTGTTTACTGCGTTTTAGATATACATAATTATATCATTATTTTACATAATTTAACTATGATTTATGATATGATATTAGTTTAAAATGCACTTGATGACTCAAACAAAGCCACCGTTGAGCAAATTCGTACCTATACTTCCCTACCCATACTTCAGAATATTTATCATAACTTTTGATGGAATGAACTGATTTTAATGAAATAAAGACTAAATGTAACCCGAAGATACACTTTATAATTTCCTTAACAATTCTTATGATATAAATTAGTACTTTATACGTGATACGTTAACAAACAAACAGACAGACAGACAGACAGACAGAAAATTCTAAAAATGGTAGAAATGTATTTAATTACTTATTTTTAGTACCCCTCAATCACTTTTATTACAAAAATATAAAATGTACAGACATCTGCTATTTACAGTTTTATTATATGTATAGATGGGATCCCAAGCAGATGGTAGCACCCAGCCATCTTCTCTATTGAAATTAGGATGTTTTTTGATTTCAATAGCCTCGCGAATCATCCTTGGAAGGAATCGGTGTTCTTTAGCGAGGATTTGTGGTCTATCAAATCTAATGTAGTGACGGGGGCGATCCTGTACATGCTCACAGACTGCAGACTTCCCGGAGCGTCTATTCTTCACATCAGCTATGTGTTCTTTAACGCGGGTTTTTATGGATCTTTTAGTTTGTCCTATATAAGAGTTCCGAAGTTGTATGGGTTACCAAAAATACACAAGCCCAATGCTCCACTACGTCCTATAGTGAGCCAAATCGATTCACCAACTTACAGATTGGCTCAATACTTAGCGAATATACTCTCACCGCTCAAGGGACATACAAGAGCACACACAAAGGATTCCTACCATTTTGTCAGCAAGATTAAAGACCTACATCTGGCAGACAATGAAACTATGGTGAGTTTTGATGTGCAGTCTCTGTTCACATGCCTTCCTGTTGAAGACTGCATCTCGATTGTTACTAGAAGGCTAGAGGAAAACAACATGCCCGTAGAATATGCAGTATTACTCAGACACTGCCTTGCATCTGGCTACCTATTGTGGAAGGAGGAGTTCTACAAGCAAGTAGATGGAGTGGCGATGGGCTCACCTGTATTTCCCATTGTCGCCGATATATTCATGGAGGACTTTGAGGAGAAAGCCCTGCTTACTTCTCCCATAAACCCAAGATTCTACAAGCGGTACGTAGACGACACTTTCACAATTCTACCTTTAGATAAAGTAACTGCATTTTTAGACTATCTTAACTCCTTAAATTCTAAAATTCAGTTCACAATGGAGTTAGAGGCAAACAATTCTTTAGCTTTTCTAGATGTATTAGTAATTCGGAATCCTGATAACACCTTGAGCCACACTGTGTATAGAAAAAAGACCCATACAGATAGATATTTAAACGGTGATTCTCACCACCATCCTTCACAGTTAGCTACCGTGGGTAAATCTTTGTTTCAGAGAGCACGAGGAATCTGTGACAGTAAACACCTGGCCGCCGAGCTCCAACACGTCAAGCAAGTTTTGCACGACAATAAGCTTCGGGTCCCGCGCCTACGTCACAGTGAACGAGTGAAGCCGGCCACAGTCGAGCGAGTGCCTGCTGTACTGCCATATGTCAGAGGTGTCACTGACAAGATTGGCTACATCTTGAAGCGTGCTTCCATTAAAACATATTTCAAGCCACCGAAGAAGATTAGTCAGTTTTTACCATCAGTCAAGTGTAATATTCCTCTGCAAGATGCAGGAGTATACAAGCTGGATTGTGAATGTGGTCTCTCTTATATAGGACAAACTAAAAGATCCATAAAAACCCGCGTTAAAGAACACATAGCTGATGTGAAGAATAGACGTTCCGGGAAGTCTGCAGTCTGTGAACATGTACAGGATCGCCCCCGTCACTACATTAGATTTGATAGACCACAAATCCTCGCTAAAGAACACCGATTCCTTCCAAGGATGATTCGCGAGGCTATTGAAATCAAAAAACATCCTAATTTCAATAGAGAAGATGGCTGGGTGCTACCATCTGCTTGGGATCCCATAATTAATAAAATTAAATCCCAACCCAAGCATACAACTGCAAGACTTCATGATACTGTAAGTTCATACTGCGTAGATCGGAACAAAAATTAATAATTTTTAATCTGGAGGTAGCCGTGGTTAACTATGATATTGGGACGTCAAACACCTCAGTCCACCCCGTGACCATGGGTGCTGTAAAGTGCTTGAAACGTCGGGAATGTAAAATAAGTTAATATACGCGATAAAATCCGTAAAATTAGTTTCATTTAAATGTGTAGTGTTCGCGTAAATATAAGAAATCACTAAGGGTTGAGGATGATATTTCTTAAACAAAAGGAGTTAATTTGTTGTTGCACAAGTTGTTCTAAGACTTTGAAAAGAAAAGGAAGAATCGAAATAGGACGATATTCAGTAAAACTTGAAGGATTTGCTTTTTTGGGTATAGGTATGATTTGGGCATGCTTCCATTGGTTAGGGAAAGAAGATGAGGATATGGAAAAGTTTAAGATAAAGGTTATAATAGGTGTTAAAAAATCTAACAAGGGAATGATCATCTTACGACTGATTTCATCACTGCCGACAGCGTCAGAATGGATAGAGAGAATGTGTTTCCTAACATCACCTGAATGAATGATGAATATGTTACTACCCTCTGTGAAGGAAACATCTGTGCAAGTTTGCTCCGTAAATAAACTGTTAAAATTCGTGTTTAAAGTTGTTCTCTAAAGTTATGTGTATATAATTCACAACGCTGTTGTAGTGACGATTCTAGTGGTGAAACCAAAATTCATTTCCATCCAGTAATTTCGAAGATATAAGCAATAACATTTCAAAATTATTTGTTAACCATCTTGAACCCTGACCTACGACAACCCGCGTGACGCCCGCTGCTCCACTGAGTCATCGCTACCGGCCAGCGCTGTGTGCGCGGCATTGCAATATCTAAGTTCAGCGGACTGCACTACGATGGCAAGTCGGACGGCACCGTGCGCGGGCTGCTGCACCGAGGTGAGCGGAGACGGTCCATATATGAAATGTGCAAAATGTAAGCAGATTTTTGATATTATTTGTGCAAACATTACTACTGATGTGTTTTAAAATATGTCGGTGGAATTAAAGATGTCTTGGATATGTGGAGAATGTCGCTGTAGGCAACCAAAACGAGATAATTCTCATACTCCAGTGCGGCCACACGTTATGCAGGATTTAAATACCACCTCTACTGCTTCGTGCCTTGACGTATCCATGCAGACTTCTGATAACGTGACTGTACGAGCTAAGCCGCGATACGCCCAAACTACTATGGGAAGCACAGGCGAAGTATTACAGGAAAAGATTTAAAAGATTCTGTTGTGCGTGAATTAAAAAACCTGCAAATTGAATTCGAAGCACATCTAATGACCAAAATTAATACACTGCTTATTGAACAATTTTTTGCGTTCAAAACTGAATTCTTAGATAGGGTTAATTTGATAACGAACAAGGTTTTACAATTAGAAGAACACTATTTATCGAGCATTAATAAGGCCTGCGAACCGACGCCAATATCCAAAATCTTCAAAACTAGCGGTACTCAAACCAGTCCAACCCTTGAAAATATACCCACTACACAAAATAAGCCTCCGAAGCGGAAACCTCAACCTCAACCTCAACCAAATATCGAACATCTCGGAACTGATAAGGATCAGTCTGCGTTTACTGTCCCCAGAACAAATAAAGTCTCATCTGTGGCTCCAGTTATCAGTGCTCAAAAGATGATGCACGCAGAATATTCCGAGTCTTCCGTCTCTTTAAATAATAGCCAGGACTGCGAGCGGATTGATGATAACTGGCAAGAAGTATCACGCAAACGGGCACGCCCCTCACTTCCCGGGTTGCTTCGAGGTACCGCTGCGCCTGGTTCTACGATGTTGCATGCTGCTGAAAGGCGAAGATACCTGCATCTATACTACGTACGAGAAGGCACCACAGTAGAGCAAGTACACGAACATCTTAACTCAATATGTGGGAACGGCGAATGCACGGTTGAAAAATTGAAACCACGTGGACATTATGCATCGTTCAAACTCGGAGTTCCATTGAAGCAGGCCGGAAATATAATGTCATCTGCAAACTGGGCTGAAGATATTTGTATTAAACCATGGCGGCAGAACTTTCGTGCCAAAGACAAAAACAATCAAACGTCAACCGCGATTCCATGAAATGCAAATATGTTACCAAAATGTTCGTGGCCTAAGAACAAAAACTAATATGTTTCTTAATAATGTTATGGAAAGTGAATATGATATGATAGCATTAACTGAGACCTTTCTTACGAGTTCAGTGTCCTATGGTGAACTCTTTCCTCCGGGTTTTCATGTGGTTCGTAAAGATAGACCTGGTGATTGTGGATGGGGAGGAGTTTTGCTCGCGATTCGTGATCGTTATAATGTTAAAATAGTTACGGATATTGTTAGTATGACTGATGACAAAGAATTAATATTTGCAATTGTGACATTTAAAAATGTAAAAGTTTTATGTTGTGTCGTATATCTGCCACCAAATTATAAGGATGAGCAATATTTGAATGTTTTGACATGTATAGAAAATGTGATTTGTACTTACCCTGACCTAAATGTTCTAATCCTAGGTGACTTTAATTTAAACTCTTGCAGTACCAATATAAAGACTTCTTTTGACTTTTTTTGTGAATTCTGCTCGCTTAAGCAATATAATACAGTCTTAAATAATCGCGGTGGTATGCTGGATCTGGTGCTGGGCAATTTTGAAGCTAAACAGATAGTGGTATCTCTCAGTGAAGATCCTCTGGTAAATATCGATCAGTACCATCCTATGTTCGATATAAATATTACATTTCCGGGCTTTTGGATAGCATCGAGCGTGTCATCTTTGCAGCAAGTGACACCTCGCTCGGATACCAATACAGATTGGAACTGGCGTAAGGCAGATTTTCAGGGTCTATATAGGACTTTGATTGAAATAGACTGGTCTGATTTGTTAACAATAAGCGATATTAACTGTGCTGTACAGCTGTTCTATGATAAGCTATACGAAATTATAAATCTGTTTGTGCCTATTAAAAAACAATTATCAAACAATCAGCGATACATATATCCAAACTGGTACAACGTAGAAATAATAAAAAATATAAAAACCAAACACTTTCATCATAAGCAATTCAAAAAAGAGGGCAAAGAATTTAATAAGGCTATGTTTATATATTATAGAGAAAAATTTAAGAAATTGATTGACTGCGAATACCGGAAATATATGACTGTACTACAAAAAAATATCATTGACGATCCTGTGCAATTCTGGAAATATGTAAAGGAGAAGAAAAACAATAGAAGGTACATAGATACATATATATATGAAAATACTGCAGTGACAGATCAAGCCGCAGCCGATGCCTTTGCTAAATATTTTGCGTCCGTATTTCATGCAGAGAAACCCGTACTAAACCCGGATACTGCTGCAAAAGCTGCATATGCACATATACATCGAGATGTGACCTCAGTTTCCATCACGACAGTTGATGAAAACGATCTGAAGAAGGTAGTGAGACGCCTTAAGCCACGATCGGCTGGTGGGCCGGATGGCATTCCTGTCTTCTTAGTTAAGGACTGTATATCAGTCCTCTTCTGTATTTGTATAATCTTTCATTGACCCAGTCAAGATATCCTGAGAGCTGGAAGCTATCTCGAGTCACTCCTGTTCCTAAAGGAGACGGAGGCACAAATGTTACTTCATTCAGACCTATAGCTGTGCTATCCGTTTTTGGTAAGATCTTTGAAGCAATTCTAAGTGATTCCATCAAATGCCAAATCGGTCAACAGTTGCATAATGGTCAACATGGGTTTCGTACAGCTCGCTCCACCGTCACCAACTTGGTCGTGCATGTAGACTATATCTGCTCACAAATGGATAAGCGAAGGCAAGTTGATGCGGCTTACTTTGACTTCCAGAAAGCCTTCGACCTTGTGGATAACGATGTACTATTGAAAAAGTTGGCGATTGTTGGATTCGAACCAAAGCTCCTCAATTTTTTTTCTTGTTACCTTAATAATCGACGTCAATATGTGAGGCTCAGTGGATATAACTCTGGAGACTACTTTACTAGATCAGGAGTGAGTCAAGGTAGTACGTTAGGACCTTTGCTATTCGTGATATTTATCAACGATTTGCCAGATGTTGTTTTGACTGCAGAGTGTCTCCTATTTGCGGATGACCTGAAACTAACTCTGGGTATTGAAACTGAGGCTGATGCCGTGACATTACAAAGAGATATTGATGCTGTGTCTATATGGAGTCAAGAAAACCACCTTCCGTTCAATAATCTCAAATGTAGAATAATAACTTTCACGAGAAAATCACAGCCCATTATTTTTAATTATAAGTTGACTGACGATCCTTTGGAAAGAGTTAAAGAGATTAGGGACTTAGGATTACTATTAGATTGCAAATTAGATTTTCACACGCATATCAACAAAATTTGTAAGTCAGCGCATAAAATGTTAGGGTATGTCATAAGGACTGCGTCACAGTTTGATAAAACACGGGTCGCAAAAGTATTATATAATGCTTATGTGCGCAGTAAACTAGAGTACGGAGCTGTTATCTGGAATCCTTACGAAGAGAAATACGTTCTAATGATGGATATATAAGAAACAGTACGGATACTATCCCTACTTATACCCTTCCTTATTCGTGTCTGGTATGGTGGACATTGAAACTTTGAAACTTAGAAGGGCAGTGTCTCAAATCATGCAATATCTGTCCATAATTCATAATAGGATTGATAGTCCCCAAATACTAGAGCGTGTCCGCATCTTGGTCCCTGGGAACGTGTCAGCAAACTCGCAGGGACAGGTGGCACCGCGGCGCCGCCCGCGACTGCTGGAGCCCCCCCGCGCACGTACCGAGCGCGCTCGTCAAGCGCCCACCAACCGCGCACTCCGCATTATTGGGGACATACTTGCACAGCACAACGAGCTAGACTTATTTGCCGATGGATTAGGAATTTGTATAAAGAAATTCAAATAATTTTAAATAAATTCTAGCCATCAAACTTACGTATAATAATTAATTATTATAATTGCTTTTCTTATTTTTTTATTTTTTTTTATTATTATTATTGCTATTTTATTTTAATATTAATGTATTTATGGACTCAGATGGTATTTTTTATGATTTCTTTTCTATGATATTATTGATGTATTGTTAATTAGGATATTGTAAAATAATTTTGCTATTACCTATATAATGACGAGGATGTGTAATACCGAATTGTTAATCTTATAAGCGTTTTGGATGTGTCATCTGTTAGCTTGTAAGATGAAATGAAATAAATAAATAAATAAATCACAATCTGCAAATTGCCTAAACACAAATGGGGAAAAGTCAGGAGTGGGAAACGATGAAAGTTGAGTAAGTGTTGTTGATTTTGCCGTATTATCCAAGCATGAAACAGAAGAAAAATGCTGATTAAGTAAATTTAAATCGACGTTATTTGGTAGAGGGCATAAACGTGTTTTCCCAACTCTTATAGACCTTAAAAAGTTCCAAACACGACATGGATCTTCGTTTTGTTTTTTTTTTATAGGAGAGGGGGCAAACGCGCATGCGGCTCACCTGATGGTAAGTGACTACCGCCGCCCATGAACAACTGCAACACCAGTGAGGGAATTGCAGATGCGTTGCCGGCCTTTTAAAAAGGGGTAGGCTCTTTTCTTGAAGGTCCCTAAGTCGTATCGGTCCGGAAAAATTGCTGGTGGTAAACTATTCCACAAGGAAGTTGTGCGAGAAAGAAAACATCTTCTAAATCACACAGTGGTGGACCGCCAATCATCCAGATGGTGTGGATGGTATCGGGAGTTCTGCTGCGATGTGCGTTCCTGAAATTTGGCGGCTGGGATTAATCCGAACAATTCCTCAGAGCACTCCCCATGCTAAATGCGAAAGAAAATGCTAAGAGAGCAACATTTCTTCGCAGTGCCAATGAGTTGAGCCGATCGGAAAGGACTCGGTCGTCGAAGATTCGAGCCGCTCTGCGCTGGATGCGATCAAGTGGAAGGAGCTGGCACTGGGGAGCTCCAGCCCAGAGATGGGAACAGTATTCCATGTGAGGCCGAACCTGCGCCTTGTAAAGTTGCAGGCGTTGAGCCGGCATGAAATACTGTCCCGCTCTGCTGAGCACGCCAAGCTTTTTAGAGGCCAATTTGGCCTTCTCTTCCAAGTGACCACGAAACTGCACGTTACTCGATATGTCGACGCCGAGGATTCCGATACTGGCTGAGGCAACAAGGGGAGAACCTTGAAACTGAGGAGATACGACAAAGAGGTTCTTTTTAGCGGTAAACGCGCAAACTTGTGTCTTCTGAGGATTAAACTGGACTAGATTTAGTCGCCCCCAATTCGAGACTTTGTCCAGCAAAGACTTGACTTCAGACACAAGTTTGTTCCGGTACTCGGTGACGTTTTCCCGAGAAATATTGGCACGGCCGGTGTATAGAGCATCACCAGTGCTGTCATCCGCATAGCAATGAATGCTACCGGCTTGCAACATATCATTGATATGCAAAAGAAACAGCGCTGGTGATAGCACGCAGCCTTGTGGAACACCAGCGTTAATAGGCTTGTAGTCGGAGCATGCACCGTCTACAACGACCTTGATGCTCCGATCTGCAAGAAAGCTGGTGATCCAATTGCATAATTTCTCGGGAAGCCCATAGGAAGGGAGCTTCGAAAGAAGAGCTTTGTGCCAAACCCGATCGAAGGCCTTCGCAATGTCCAAACTAACGGCCAATGCCTCCCCCTTGGACTCTAATGCCTCCGCCCATCTATGAGCTAAGTAGACCAGAAGATCACCAGCTAATCAACCCCGACGAAAACCGTACTGGTGGTCACTAATCAGCTGGTGATCCTCAAGGTACCGCATGAGGTGGCAGTTTATAACGGATTCCATTATTTTGGAGAACAAGGGGGTGATGGCGATAGGCCTGTAGTTGGACGGGTCTGAGCGGTCGCCTTTTTTAGGGATCGGGTGGACAAAAGCTGTCTTCCATATGTGGGTAGGAAGGTGTATGATCCTCAACATCTGGAATCCGCGTAGGCGATGTAACCAGTTGTGTCAGACCATATGCCAAGGCAAAGTCATAAACAGATCTCCCCACATGATCGGTTAAACGTGAACCGAGCCATTCGGCGTGGTGGGCGTTAAAATCGCCAAGGATCACGATCTCTGCGGATGGGACCTGTTGTAGCAAGGAATCTGTAGCCATTTGGTCGTGGTCAATGAGTCGGTCTGTTTCGGCATTACCGCTATGGGACCTATAGAGGCACACGTAGACGCGCGGATGGTCGTCGCTGTCTACGCGTAGCCAAAGGATTGACAGGTCCGAACCTTCAAGACTCCCGAGGCGTCGAGAACAGATGTTCTCTCTGACATACACGCAAACTCCAGCCCGAGGCACAAAGGAGTGCTCAAATTTGTACCCCGGGTAGGAGAGATACGAAGTATCAGCCGGAGAGGACACCTGCGTCTCGGTCAGAAAGAGCAAGGCCGGCTTCGCCGTCTCAAGATGTGTAGTGGACGGCGTTTAGGTTCGAGTGAAGTCCCCTGATGTTGCAGAAATTCACGGATAGCGTGGCAGGGGTCGCCTTGGTCTTGTTGCTCAGTTTGCCCCGAGCAGTTATTGTGTTGAGCGGAATTTTGCCCCCCTCCCCCCAGAATACGCGGGGCAGCCTGAGTACCCACGCTCAGGAGTGGAATAGCATGGTCGTGGATGCTCAGCGAGGGATTCTCCAGGGGTACTGGTACCCTCCTGGGGTAGTTTATGACGTAATTCCGCTACCATGTTGATGGGGGGGGGGGGGGATTGGGCCTCCGGTCACCTGCACTCACCAGACGAAACGCGGAAGCAGAGCTTCCACTTCACGCCAGTATTCTGTGAGGTCGTAGTACTAACCCGGCTCGAGCCGGCCCATACGTGCAACAGCAAAAGCTGCTGCGTGGCTCTACCACCGTTTGTACCGATTTATGGATATAGCGGCGTCGTAAATCTCTACACAACTTATTGCATTGATTCCGCAGGAGTCTGTACTTTTCCCGAATCCTGTCATTCTTTGGATCTGACCTGTAACTCGACTTTGCGTTATTCTTCCTAACTATCAATCTTTTAAGATCTTCAGTCAACCAATTTTTAATATGGCTTTGCCGGATATACTAGGATCCCATTGAATCAGGTAACTTTGTTATTATTTTTTTAAAACTTTGTCGATACTCACTACTAAAAAGATTCTAAAGAACAATAGCATACTTTCATACATGAAATTAGTTGAGGAGGAATGGTTGCGTCTATATATCAAAAATATCTTAAAATGTTAAGCGTCAGTACCTTAATAACTCTGTCAAAGAATTTTGTCGTGAGAAGGCGTCATAAAAAGATATTTAGATTTGAACCTTTTTAGGTTATGTCTTGTCACTTGGAAAAAGTCATGCGTCTTATGGTTGTTTGATGTTAGCTTAATACATTTTCAACATAATGTACCTACCTACATAATTGAAAGTTTTTAGATTATTGTATCTCTATTACATATTTGCATACTAAAAATGTATATTTCTAGCATGGCTCCAGGGCCTTTGTGTCATACAGTGACATTCTCAG